AGTGATGATGGAAGGCTGTTATATGTAGTGATGATGGGTAAAAGTTATATGGTATTTATGGATGGAAGTTATATGAAAAGATGATGGATGTTATATGTAGGTGATGGATGGTGTTATATGCAGGATGATGGATGGTGTTATATGTAGTGATGATGGGTGGTGTTATATGTAGTGATGATGGATGGTGTTATATGTAGTGATGATGGATGGTGTTATATGTAGTGGTGATGGATGGTGTTATGTGTAGTGATGATGGATGGTGTTTTCTGTAGTGATGATGGATGATGTTATATGCAGTGATGATGGGTGGTGTTATATGTATTGATGATCTATCGATCTATCTATCTATATAAAACAAAGAAGTGTGTCCGTTTGTTTGCGTGTGTGTGCTGTGTTTGTTTGTGTGTCCGCACAGAATCTCGGAAACTACTTTACCAATCAGTAGTGATGATGGATGGTGTTATATGTAGTGATGATGGATGGTGTTATATGTAGTGATGATGGATGGTGTTATACGTAGTGATGATGGATGGTGTTGTATGTAGTGATGATGGATGATGTTATATGTAGTGATGATGGGTGGTGTTATATATAGTGATGATGGATGGTGTTTTCTGTAGTGATGATGGATGATGTTATATGTAGTGATGATTAGACAATAAAATAATAACAGATTAATGCTAAAAAAATATTCTTTGTTATACCGTTGTAGTGAAAAACATGGTGGAACTTACATACACCGTTAATGAACTATTGATGGAAGAGGAAGTTTTGGGGACTGAACAGTGAGACAATGTGGAGCCTCCCGGAGGGTGGCGTCCTACCGTGGCGTATATATATATATATATATATATATATATATATATATATATATATGGACTTGTTACGTGAAGCGTAGTTTTTATAATGAGAGAGAACCAAGGTAAACACAAACATCTTAGTAGGTGCTTTAATTGCTAACGTTTCGGAAATAATCCTTTTCCATCATCAGAGCCTAAAAGTTTGAAAAAAATAAAAAATACAGGTGATATACAATAAAAACATAATATTATACATTACCTTCGATAAACAAAATTTATTAAAGAAATTCACTTCAAATCCGACAAAAATGAAGACCTACATACAAAGCTAAAGTCAAATAAAAGTATGAAATAAAATGTACAGGGGTATTACCTTAATTCAGACGAGCCTGAAAACATAACAATTCACTAGAGGCCATATCACAAGCGATGAGTTTTATTGTATATCACCTGTATTTTTCTTTTCATAACTTTAGGCTCTGATGATGGAAAAGATTATTTCCGAAACGTTAGCAATTAAAAAGCCTACTTCAAAATGTTTGTATTTACCTCGTTTCTCTCTTCATTATATATATATATATATATATATATATATATATATATATATATATATATATATATAAATTGGGGGTACACTTGAGGGAGTTTTGCAGGAACATAGCACATGGAGTGAAGGGATGTTTATAGTACAGGCTCACTGTTTTATGAGTGCGTGGTGCTGGTGCTGCCTCAGACCCACTCTAGGAAGGTGTTGACACAGCGGCAGTTATACAGTAGAAGTGACACAATAGAGGTGACCCAAAATAAACGACACAGTCAACATGGCAGCAGAAGTGACACAGGATAAGTGACACAGCAGAAATGACACAATAAAAGTGACAAAGTAGAAGTGACACCGATAATGGTGGTACAGTAGAAGTGACACAGATATAGTGACACAGCAACAGCGACTAGAACGAGTGTATTGATGTGTGACAACTGTATTGACTCTTAAATCTTTACCTACGTGGAGATTATTTAATCCCAACACAACATTCCTTAGAACCTCCAAATGCTGTAGCTAGAGAAGCGATATCAACCACTACCCAGAACTGTGTGTATGTCTGTGTGTGTGTGTGTGTGTGTGTGTGTGTGTGTGGTAGGAACACAACATAACTTAGCCTCCCTTGCTGTTATTGCGCGGGTCTGGGATGGTTGCGATGGTCATATCTCCTTTCCACACAAATTCTATCGGTTTGTCCGGCTTTTCCTCTACCAAGATCAACCCTTCTTGTATTGAGATGAGTTTGGGTAATTTTTTCTTTTGATAATTTCACATTAAGGAAATCAAGAATCATGACACTACTTTGTACCTTTTATTTACATTCCAACATTAATAAAACCAAAATTTAAATCGGTAAAAGTAATTGTATTTTTTTCATAAGATTTTATATTAATAAATGAAAAGGGAATCATACATACACGATAAAAGTCTGTGGTGTTTTTTATAGTATATTATTAATAAAACGAAAAGATAAAAACATAAAAGCTCGGTAAAAGTATCATATTTTTTTTCTGTAAAAATGTCATTGATTAAGTATAGCTCCAGAAATATTTCCCTGGACATTTTGATGTTCGCTGCTTTATATTATAATAACTAGAGAATATTAATATTAAAGGTACTCTGTAGCACACAATTAGGAATCTGAGTAAATAGATGCTACAGATCACAGGCCTTACGTGCCGACATGACGGTAATTGACGCGAGGCTTAAACAAAACTGTCCTGGGAGTTTTGAGGGCAGCTGTACGTAAAGTATGGATCACCGTGGCCACTAAAGCCTTGGTCTAATATTCTGAGAAATTTTAACATTTCTTTATTATATACGACCGTGTGTGTTACAGTGTTCACGGTGAGAGTGTCTTCATGACTTGAGTTCTCTCAAACATTTCTGCAGTTCCTGGAATATATCGCATTTATGGTGTATTGGATACAGCGTGTGTTGACAAACGGAGATTTATTGTAACTTAGTGTTTAAGTTCCAAGAAATGTTTATACACACACATACACACACACACATGCACACATATAAACCTAACCTCTACCACCAAAGTACAACAGTTTAGGTTTTAACAGATGACCCTCATATTAATTATGTGTGTTTGTAATTATGTGACTATGTATGTATGTAATAAAATAAATAAATATTGAAGTGATAACCGTGGCAACAGCCTGAGATGTTCTTATTACCACCATGCTATTGTACTATTCCAGATGATACTAAATGTTACATAATACTTCCTTGAGATAAATGTATAGTATATATCAGGTGCCTAAAAGAGAGCTCAGGCTCTCAACTGGCTCATCCATGTTAATATTGTTATTATTATCCACTCTGTATCTGTATTTTTCTAGCTAAATAAACTTTTCGATTCAATTCATATGTATGTAGTTATAATTTCATACAACTCCACAAATTTTAGTACAATACACATCATCGTGTCAGTTGTATGTACGTAATTCATCCCTATCCTCTTTCATTATCAACTATGTACTAAATTTCAGTAAAATATTGTCCAATTAACGTTGACGACAGAGGTCATGAGGAATGGCGCTGGAAGTAAGTTATTAATCTCTGGCTGGTCATGTGAGTCTCTCTGCTACCATCCTGTTATTAGTAAAAGCTCCTGGACGGGGGCATGACGTGAAGAAATTATAACAAGAATTCTTCTTCCTTCTCCTCATCATCATTATTGTCGTTATTATTACCAGTTTTATCACTAGTTTTAAGGATATAATTTTTATTATCATTCTTATTATTTTTACAATTATCAATACTATTACTTACTATCACTCACACCTTACATATACCTCTACACACCCACCCACTCCCCCACACAGGTATCCAATCCCACAGGTGTAAACCTCCAACGTGAACCACAAATCTCCATGACAATTAAACACCATATCCTTTCTTAACACCTGGTACAACCCCCACCTCATCCATGCACCATAAATTCTTGATAATGATAACAATACAGCTTCTTCTATCCCACTGCGTGACAGAGAGCATTAGCGAGACCCCGACAAGATGATGTGTGCTGTGAAATACCTTCAGAGGCAATGAAAGAATAGGAACCAAAGAGGTGGGGGTGGAGGATAGGGATTTATAAAGGTACAAGATTGTTACAGTGAGAATGTAAAGGTTAATTAAAGAATGGAGGTAAAGTTAGCTCCTCCACTTAGCGTTGCCAATCCTCTCTTTCATTGAGGTGAGCGGGAGGGAGAGGGAGGGGGGGGGGGCCTGGGTAGTTGTCCCTCTATGGGAAGGAGACTGAATACTATTAGAGGGATGAGGCCGGAAAATCTATATCAGTTGGGAGAGATTTCAGTGCAGGATAACACTTTAACAACTGAACTATTTTTGTTCACATGAAGCTTGTATTAAAATAAATATGTGGTGCCCACTTCCTGATTATTTTGATTGCTAATTAATCTCTTTATTACGATGTTTTCTTTTCTACTTTATTCTGGCTACCGCCAGACGATTTTATTCGGCTGGAGAAGTTCCATCTCGTAGTCCAGGGGTTAAACAAAACTTCGCTGTTTCTTCAAGATATAGATTCAAACATAAATGCCCCCATTTACAAAGAAACACCTAAATTAGAACATGAATTCACCCCCCTCTCATCCTATTGTTACTTTAGTATTTTCATCAGGCTAGAGCTAGACGATTACACTCAGCCGAGGAAACCCCATCAGTATTGTGAAAGTGTAAATATGCATTGTAATCTTCCCAACTTAGATACTGTACACTTCCTTCCTCACCCAACAGTACCACATATCCCCCCACAGAAAGACACTTACAACGACACCCCCCTCCCCTCCCTCCGGCTCACTGGGCGAATGCTTCGAATTCAGAGTACAGTATTTGGGGTTAAGACCTCGGGTAGAGAGAGGATTGGCAACACTAGGTGGTAAACACAGGAGTAGAACCAACTATACAGTATGTGGTTTATATGGTTTTAAGAGAGAGAGAGAGAGAGAGAGAGAGAGAGAGAGAGACGCAACCCTCGTTGAGTACCTGGACCTGGATTTGTAATTGTATCTGAATCCGTATCTGCATCTTTTATCTGCACCTGTATTTGAACCTGTATATTTTTATACTGAATAAAACATAAATCAACATGACCCACACCGTCTCCGGCGATGGTGACTCACCGAACACGTTGAGGCGGACGACGAAACTCCTCACGGGTTTGGTGGACACTTGACATTCGTAAATACCGGAGTCGCGAACCTGAGCGTAACTGATCTTGAGGATCCAGTCTTGGGAGCCCGGGGAGTGGATCACCTCGAAGCGCTGATCCGTCGTGTAGGTATAGCGGCCCACTGTCAGTATGTGTAGGTCTCTCTGTCTGATCCACGACACCTGTTTGAGAGACGGAGAGATGGTAATGAGACAGGGAGGAGGAAGAATTTAGTGTCTCTGTCTGATCCACGGATCCACGACACCTGTGTGAGAGATAGACAGATGAAGAGATAGAAAGAATATAGCAGAAAGAGAAAGAGAAGGAGAGGGAGAAATATTTGAGACAAAGGAAGGCAAAAAACACTGATTTTTCTGTTTTTTCACGATTCCCGAAACACAGACACACATAGATAAGGTACCAAGGGACACCACCCGAATGTGTAAGTCCTTGAAATAAATTATATCTAAAACGAAAGATAAAGAGAAAACAAAATAATGAACATACCGATAACAAACTACTCGGTACAAAAATCCCCCGCCCCCCCAAAAAAAAAGATACATATATTCCACAATAAGAAAATCTCAGTAAAAATTAAACAATGTAGATAAATGAAATATCGCACAACAAATAAAAAACAATAGCAATGATGATATACTCTTTTTTTTTACACTGAATAAATAAACACCAATAAAAGCAAAATTATAAAATATTCACCTTAAGTGAAATGCAAAACAATAAACTCACGCGTAATACTTCATGTCGCATCAATGATAATTCTCAAAAACACCTGAACTTGTTTACCCCAAAGAGACAAAGAGATCACAAGACCCCTCGTGTATTCCGTCCAGGTGAGAGTGTCATGTCCTTCTCTCTCTTACCTGGAGGCTGACAGGTAACAAGAAGTGCTGGCAGGTGCGTCTTCATCACAGGTATTGTTGTGCATAGCTCCTGCAGGGCACATACCTCCCAGTCTTTCCTCCTTTCAATGTTTTGGCTCTCAGTTTCGGCGGGAAGTCTCGGTGGGAGGTTTTTGGCGGGAAGTTTAGCGGAAGATTATGGAGGGAAAATTTACCGGGAAAACATGTAAGGAATTTTCAGAGTGAAAATTTCGTGTGAATTCTGTGAGGGAGAATTTGGCGGAAATATTTAGCGGGGAGACTTGGTATAATTTCCCCAAAATTTTTGACGGAAAGCAAGTAAGTGAACAAGTCAAGATGCAGGTGATTTGGGAAGTGTCAATGAAAGTGAGACGAGTAAGGTTGACATTGGGTGATTGGAAAAAGTTAACTGAGGAAAGCAAGTTGACACACGTGATTGGAAGAAAGAAATTAAACACCAGGTGATTGGAAGGATTGAAAGTATGTCGATACCAGATGATTAGGAAGAATGAGTAAGTCGACACCAGCTGATTCAGAGAGGATTAATTACTCAAAGTCAGAGAGAGAGAGAGAGAGATGATGATGATGACACCGACAGCCGTAGTGTTTAATAATTATAGAAGAAATGATAATAAAAATAATTATAAAACTCTTCTCCATCTTTTTATTACCTAACTATCCTAATACAAAAGTATCTACTCTAGCCGAGTTAGTTTCACTTCAGATCTACTACTACTATTACTACTAATTTTACGTCTTCTACTCAACCAACAATAACAGTGACTGAGGGCAGTTATCCTTTCTCCACTGTTAACGACTGTTACTGCTACAGTAAGCTAAATTAGAAGAGAGAGAGAAAGAGAGGGATAACCACAATAAGATAAACTAGGTGTGAGAGAGAGAGGGTGAGATAAGAGATATAGTGTTGACAACGAATTTGCTGAGGTGTTTCAATACGAAACAGATGGCCCTCGCCTCCGGGCTGCAATTGCCCTAGAGGGTAGTCTACCGATTTTTACAGGACAGACAACACGTTGGTTCAGACCGCTAGACCCTAAAACGTGAGTGATCGTGAAGTATTAGAATCTGCTAAGAAACTCTAAATAACTTTAATAAGTATTATTTATGTACTGTAATTTGATCATATTATACAAATTGTCTCCTGTATCAACAGTTATAACATGTGAGTTATATAAGATGTTAACAGGCTATGTACTGTATATTGATTGTATTATTCATACTATGTGTCCTGAGATAACAGCATTTGTTAAATGAGAATTGTTCTTTAACAGGTTTTGACCGAATTATATGGTACGCGTCAACGTTGAGGGTTTATTTCTCCAGCAACAAACCAATAACGCTCCTATGAGCGTTAACAACGACCTCTGACCCCAAGAACTTCAATAAAATAAGACGAATTGTATATCTGACACTATCTGTTATTGAGGATTGTCGTAAAATATTTTTGTACTGAGTCAGATCAAGATAGGTCAATATATAGGGAGATGGAGGGGAAAATATACTTTTTTATCCAGAGAATGATTGATCTTTGACCTCGGATTAAGTTCAGTGGCTTCACTGCGCCTATTGTTGACGTCACGGCGGTAACACACTCTAAAGACACTTTTGACATTATGACAAGTTATTCTGTTGACTACCAGAGAGCTGTGGAGGAGTTGATGTACCTAAGCTAACCTAACCTACCCCTAAGAGGGAGAAAGAGAGTGAAGAATAGTATCCGAGAGATACAAAGTAAAAGAGAGGAAGTGAAAGAAATGGAGAAGCGAAACAAAAATAGGAGAGAGAGAGAGAGAGAGGTTCGTTCTGGTAAGAGATATCATCAAAGGTAGTCTCATATCTCGCTCGGTCAGTGACCGTACCAGGCTTCAACTCTCCCTTTCTTCCCCACGCTAAGAGATGTTCATACCACCTTGTTAGCATCTGTTGTTGACCATTGTCCTCATCTCCTGCCATCACCTACTACTCCTCCCACTCACTCTCAACCAAGATGTGAGGTAGAGGTGCTACAGTTATAGACAAACAGACAGACAGATCTTCTCTTTCACTCTATCTCTGTATACTATTCTGCTCTGTCTCTCTCTTTCTTTTTATTTATCTTAAGTTTTTATCTTTTGAAATGAATCTTTAGTAAAAAAATGGGGGATCTGAAAGTGATTTAAGAGAAACAAAAACACTTAAAGAGAGAGAGATAGACGGAGACATAGAGAAAGATATAGGGATAGTATGAAAACACGATCACCTGAATATTTTTGTCATAATTAATAACCTCCTAATATGACACCTTAAGGAAAGCTCACCACGACGACAAAAACGTCTATGAAAATTACCTTCGCCTACCTGGTCTAATACACAGGTGCTGCCAGGCGTGTGATTGTGGGATACCGTGGCCAGCTTAGTGCAGTGTTCTCTTAAATATAATCCTTTCAATTACCAGCAAGAGGAAAATGGCGACGAGGGAAGATCACTAACCACGGTGTGTTGGTAATGAGAATCGGAAATAAATGTCGGGAGATGGCATTGAAAACTGTGCCGTTACTTATGACGCGATGTATGATATATAATTATAATATTTGAGGTTACGTCATTATTTTGGTAATTAGGAAAAATAGTAATAGATATCTTTGCAGTGTACGTACTTCACTAAGATTATGTATTAACTAGTAACTGTAATTAAGGGTTTAAATTTCAACTGCTTTGCATTTCAGGTAGTTTATCTTGTTAATTAGGTTATTATATTTTATGTAAGTCTTGGATAACGTCATTGACTGTCTGAATAATATACAGGGTAGTTAAAAACGAATAACCTGATTTTAATTAGATGTATATTAAAATCAGGATATTCTTTTTCGATCATTTTGTATATTTCATATCTCATATACAGTTAAATCGACTCATTTAACTCAGTATTTTTGGATTTTGGTAAAAATTTCACCTTTTTCCCCAATTATAGAAAACAAAATTAAGTACTTCTAATCATTCTCATTAAATTTACCGCTCCGAAAGAATAGTCTTTGAGTAATTAATCTCTCTAATGACCTTTTAATTACATGCGGCTGCTGTTAACTGTTAATTAATAATTACTCCTTAACTGTAAGACTTTAATCGCTTTTGTTTCCTCAAATCTCATAATTAAATAACTGAAACCTTCGACATCACTACACTCTAATTCTGGGGAAAACAAGACACAAAGGAAGCATGTAATTAATGCTGCTAATTAGCTATGCAATTTCAGTCAGATCTATTCAGTAGTTACTAAGTCTCTCTTTTCCTTCCATTTCTTGACTGCATCTCTCTCCTTCACCCTCTCTATCTCCTCTCTCTTCCATCCTCGCCCTCTCTTCCCCTCTTTATCTCTCTATCTCCTCCTCCTACCATCCTCATTATTTTCATCAAAGGTTAGAGGTCACTATTTCTCAGTCATCCCCAACACACTTCTCCCTCAGTCCTGATCCGCCAATATTCACGAACTATATATATATATATATATATATATATATATATATATATATATATATATATATATATATATATATATCGTACTGTAGACCACTTCGTATAGTTAGATAATATTAAGGTATCGGAGATATTGACTTTTAAGTATCGAAATTTAAGCTGACTGAAAGTTTAGAGACAAAATTTCGTGTTTGTTTGTTATCGGTATTTTAACCATATAGCCATAATAGACCTATATCGTAGCCTTGTGTGGCAGAAGACACCGTAATGATATGGTAAGTTAAGGATTTGGGAACATATCTAATGTAATGAATGAGGAGAAAAATAAATTAACAATGCCAATATCAATTAATGTTAATAACAGCAAAAAACAAAAAACATAGGAACAACGAAAACAAAAATAATAATAACTCCACAAGTTTAAAAATAAATAAACTCGGTTTAAAAATAATTAAACCTGAAAATGAAAACACGAATAAAAGTGACTTTGAATCAACATTTTACACACACACACACATATATATATATATATATATATATATATATATATATATATATATATATATATATATATATATATATATATATATATATATATATATATATATATAACTTCAGCAATGGACTTGTTACGTGGAAAGAGTAGTTTCATAACGAAGAGGAGAACCAGGGAAAACACAAACATCTTGACCAAGTTGGGTTTCTTTAATTACCAACATTTCGGAAAAATCATTTTCCATCATCAGAGCCTAAAAAACAAAATTTCTTTTAGACTAATCGTCAAAACCCAGAGTTCAATTAAAGACACCATACCCACACACCTGCAA